AAAATAACAATGTGCAAGATGTATTCATACTAAGTTATTCTTTATCTGTTAAAACATTATATAACTTAACATAGGAGGGTGTTAAGTTATCAAATAAATCAAAAGCTTCTAAACACTTTGTTAAGAGAACTTCCCTGAATTGTTTGGCTCTTGACCTAGTAATGGGACCATGTGGCATGACTTCCGGATCTGGTGTAGGTGTGATTATATCAGTTTTGAGTAAAGTCCTCTAAAACTTGGGACAAGAGAATCGAGAGGAAAAAGGCTTGAGTGTGTGTGAGATGCAAACACAAGCGGATTGAGTGACATTCAAGTTTTCCTTGGAGTGACTCGTGAGGCTTTGTAAGAGTATATTCTGGTAAGGTCCTACACACATTTCGTTTTTTCCTTATTTGCTAACATGTCTCTTCCATCCAACTTCTTTGTAGTCAAAAGGACTTTGAACATTCAAAGCCAAGAAGATGAACAAAGATAGAATATCTTCCATACAAGATGTCACGTGGGAGATAAAGTTTGTGTGGTGATCATTGATGGAGGAAGTTGTACAAACATAGAAAGTACTCACATGGTGGAAAAGTTGGGTCTCGAGACTTCCAAACATCCTCATCCATCGAACTTCAGTGGCTCAATGATGTGGGTGAGGCCAAGGTAACCAAACAAGTTGTTGTTCCTTTCTCAATTGGAAGATACAATGATGAAGTCCTTTGTGACGTGGTGCCCATGAGTACAAGCCACCTTATACTAGGACGTTCTTGGTAATTTGACAAGAAGCTACTCATGATGGATTTTCCAATAAGTATTCTTTCCAACATCAAGGAAAGAAAATCATATTGGTGTCTCTTCTTCCAAGTCAAGTCCATGAATGCTAGTTTACCCTCAAATCACGTATAGAGGAATGCGATAAAACTAAAGACATGAAGAAAGTTGAAAGAGAAGTTTTGCATGAGAAACAAATAAGCTTGGAGAGAGTTGAAAATGAGAAAAATGAAAGGATTGAATTTAAAGCAAAGAGGAAAAGGAAAATGAGGGTGAAGAACATATTTTATCTAATCCTACTCCTATTCTTTCTTTTAATGTGCAGGACAATTCAATAGACATGTCACTTCAAGTTAAAGATTCAAGAAACATGTCTTTTGAAGAACCAATAGTCATGACTTTTGGTGATCCACAAGACACATCTTTTGAAGAACCAATAATTATGTCCCTTGACGTTCCAAAGGATATATCACTTGAAGTGCCAAAGAATGGGATCATTGATAATCCAAGTACATTGCACATATTGAAAGGAATTCAGCAACCAATGGAGATTTCCATCATTAAGCAACCAATGCCTATCAAACATCCACCCTGGTTTGCTAATTCTAATCATTTTGTTATTAGTTTTTCATTTTATAACTTTGATTCATTTTCTAGCAATGTGATTCGTATAAGTGGTGTTATCCAATCAAGCTATGATGGCAAGATCAATTGTCATTTTTAGTTTGATTGTTACATCAAATTCAGCCACTACGATGGTGTGAAGCAAGCATTGTCCACCTTTTTAAAGGCCATCATCTGGAAGAGCACAAAGCTTAAAGTTGTTGACTTTATCCACTTGCTAGAAGGAGATCAAAAGTCAAATTTCTTCACCAACCATCAAGATGATTAAAAGAGTAAGAGTAAAAAGATACAATATTTTGAAAGGATACATTATGTCCTCCCATAAAAGGACTTGAAGTTACCAGATTTGAAGCTAAGAGGTTGAACATTTCGTGTGATTCACCTATTGGAGGAAAACATAAGGATTCAATCTTTCCTACACCAAGAAGGTCTTCAATGAGAAACTACATCGATTTGAGGACAAATCGCCTAAAAGAAGGGGAGGATGATACAATCCAAACTAGCTCCAACTTTCCCCATGACTTTATCACACCATGGATGTTATTCAAAGCTGTTTCTAAGGGAGTTCTTCCTTACCCTCTCTTATATTATGTCATTTATACATTCTATTCTATCATAAGCATGCATTCACATGTTAGTATAAATTATCATAATAATTCCATCCTGTGCCTAGTTGATCATGTCCTTCATACCATTCAAATATATGCTATGATTATATATCATTTATTATGAATACCATGTTAAATGATATTCATGCATACAACATATATTCACAATGTTATTTCAAGCATGTTAAGTAGCTATATTAGTCTTGCATTCATTTAAGCATGATTATCACATATACATCAAGGCAGCATAATTATCATTCATTTTATCAGATCCTATGCATTCTTTTTAGCACTTAGGCTTTATGCATTAGTTCATACATATTATAAGATGATATATTTAGCTCATGGCCTTTGATGTAAGGCTAACCAGGCTTCTTCAATAATGGAGAAGATGGCAACCTTGTTATTTCCCGATCTAGGAGAGACACCAAATGTTACACCTTGAATTGAAAAGAAATCTACACAAAGAAGAATGATTGGTTAAGTAAATGAGTAATTAAGAAAGGAAATGGAAAGAATTGAAATGGATAGAATAGTTATCAAAGAAGGGCTGCGGAAGTGTTGTAGAATGATCCTTCAAGTGATGATGGATTCGGCCTCCAATGGTGGTAAATGGACGAATGCCTTGTTGATGATGAAGGATGATTATATGGGTGTGAAGGGATATGGATAATGGTGATAGAAATATTAATTGAATGGAGTTGGCGTGATAGTGATGATGGAAGGTGGTAATGAATAGATAGTATCTTATAAGACTAAGAAGGAACCAATGCTATAAAGGAGCAAAGACCCGTTTCTTATATGTCGTTATAAAGGATGGTATTAAGGACTTTGACCCTCTATCTATAGGAGATAGGAACCAGAAGTATCAAGGTGAAGGAATGACGCCACAAGCTTTAGAAAGGCTTGTTTAATCGATATAGTTCTAAAAAGAACTTGAAGAGAGAAATATCTCACAAAGAGTTTTTAATTGATCAAAGGGTTCTCTTACAAATGAAATATCCAAGCCTATTTATAGGCTAGCATAGGTTTGGCCGAATAAATAGGTGTCTATTCGGCTAAATACATGACTATTAAATAGAAATACATGATGTTTTAATGAATGAAGATGTCCTTGGACGAATGGTCTCCTTGCTCTTCATCTTGGCGCCAATTTTGAATCAAAAAGATGCTTAGGCCGAATAGAGAGAACCCTCTTCATTTTGGTGCCCATTTCATCCACACGCATGGCACATGTGTGGGCTGGTCATGAGGCACTCACATGGGTGGCTTGGGGTCTTATGTTGTGTCTCCTACTTCGCGTGAAGTTGAGCAGCAACTTAGGTGTGACTTTGCATCGAACTTGCTTCTAGATGACATGGCGTCAATGGGGCAGCAACTATTTATGAAAGGTCACATTTGTGGAAGGCAACCTTTCATCATTTGAGCTACTTCCAATGTGTTTGAGCTGAAGATGAGCTGGCCATAGATGCAATACATGACAATGAGTCTTAGGACAGCTCCTTGTGAAAGGGCACTACTCGGATTGGCAACTCTTCGCGAAAAGGTACGAATTCACAAAATTCGACCTAAACTATATTTGTAGTGCTCTGTGTGGTGAAGATGATGGTGCAACTCTCCAGCTAAAAAGAAGTGTTTAGCTAGCTCAAAAATCCAACTCAAGTGAGCTATGAGCTCGGAGGTCAGCTAACAACTTTTCATCATTTGTTCTTCATGATCTCCCTAGTCATCTTATGGAAGTTTTCCTAGCTCATTGACTCCCATGCTAGCTTTAAACCAGCTCCCAACATGTGGTCGAACATGTACCTACAAAAGAAAGCTTTTATAAGCTAAGTAATATAAAATATAAAAATATAAATATGTGGTTCATAACAATAACTTCATACATTCATAATATCATCATCATAACTATAAATATAATGTATGTAAGCTATTGTCATAACTATGGTATAAAGAAAGATTAAGTTGAAAAAAATCCTCCTTTGATTATTGTGAAAGGTTGGAGATGCAAGTCCATTTTTGACGCTGAATCGGATCACATCATCCCCCTTCTTTAAAGAGATTTGTCCTCAAATCGAAGGGTGGTTTCTTTTCAACGTTCCTCCATTCCATAGTTGTTGTTTCGTCAGAAATTGAGATTCCTTCTTTAGGCTCTTGAATGAGATATGCCCATGTAATTTTGCTTTGAATGTTTAGGTCCCTTGATATTCCAAAAGTGGTGTCTCTTAATGCTCCAATAGGCATGATCATGGAATCCTCATAAGTCACGTCCATTGGTTCTTCTAAAGACACGTCCTTTGAATGAAAAATGGTGTTCTTTTGCTGCTCAATGGACATATCTTTTGTATTCCCAAAGGTCACTTCTCCTAAACATTTCTTTTGGAAAATGGTGTCTCTTGATACAACCTACAAGTCAAAGAAACAATCTACATTTTCAAAGTTAGAATAATCATCTTTAACCTTGCATTTTATCAATAGGCATTCTCGAAACAAGCACTTTGAGGAATAAGCACTTGTTCTTGGATCAATTTCCTCCATGGTTGTTGCCTTTCCTTTCCTTATAGCCTCAACACTTTGCTTCATTTTGGCTTGATCATTCTGGACTTGTTTAGGCGTTAAAGGAGTAAGGATAATCTTCTTCCCTTTATGGCTGAACGAGTATTGATTGGTAAAACAATCATGAATAGTTCTTTTGTCGTATTGCCATGGCCTCCCAAGAAGTAGATGGCTAGCGTGCATAGAGACAACATCACACATAACCTCATCTTTGTATTTGCCAATGGAAAAAGGAATTATCACCTGTTTGCTAACGTTGAGTTCTCCTCGTTCATTGAGCCACTGCAACTTATATGGATTCGGGTGCTTCATTGTTTTCAAACCAAGTTTTTCCACCATTATTGTACTGGCCACATTAGTACAACTTCCACCATCTATAATAACAAAGCATACCTTCTCATTCACATGGCATCGGGTATGGAATATGTTTTCTCGCTGTGCATTGTCTTCTGCAACTTGAAGATTCAAACTTCTTCTAATTACCAAAGCTTCTCCTTGTTCAACAGGATCTGCAAGAGTGATTTCTTCATTGACTTCAATAGGTGCCTCTTGTTCTTCCTCTGATTCAGATTCTATTTTGGCATTTCCAAGTAAAAGCATAGTGTTCCGGTTAGGGAATTGTGTATATACATGGCCCCTCCCAAGACATTTAAAGCATCTAATGTCTCTTGAACGTTCAGTAGTTTGCTTTCCTCGGTTGAAGTCTTTGTTTGCTTGTCGATTCTTTGAAGATTCGTCTTGTTCTTTGACAAGAGGAGGAGTTGGCTTTTTGATGTTGTTTGGACTCCATTTGTATGATGTAGGTGCAATATTGCGAGTTGTGTCTCTCCTCTTTAGTTGCCTTTCAATTTTCATTGCCATTTGCACCATCTCATCCATTTCGATGTAATGATACAATTCCAAGGTATTGGCAATTTCGGGATTAAGTCCGGAAAGGAATCTCGCCATATTTGCTTCACGATCCTTCTCAATGTTGACTCGGATCATTGCCACTTCCATCTCTTTATAATAGTCCTCCACACTCCTATGGCTTTGTTTCAGATTCTGTAACTTTTGAAACAAGTCACGATGATAGTGAACATGAATGAATCGTTTCCGCATAATACCTTTCATTTCAAGCCAAGTTGAGACCGGTCGTTCTCCATTCCTCCTTCGGTTCAAAGTAAGTTGATACCACCATATTAAAGCATAGTCTATGAACTCCATGGCTTCCAATCTAACCTTCTTCATTTCGGAATAGTTGTGGCAACTAAAAACATGTTCCACTTTGCTTTCCCATTCGAGATAAGCTTCAGGATCAGTTTTTCCTTGAAATTAAGGAATTTTGATCTTGATATTACTCAGATTATCATCAACAATGGCACGTCTAGGGACTTGGAATGCTACTTGTTCTCCCTCGTCAAAATTTTCTTGAACTTCTTCTTCTGGAGGGGTGGTGGTTGTTGTCTTCTAGGAACTATATTATTACGGCCTGGTGGTAGATCCTGGCGTTGATCTATCTTTTCATGAAGAGCATCGAACTCTTCACGAAACATTCTCATCATTTCGCCAATGAGTGCCTGCATTTGTAAGTTTGGTGTTCCTGTATTTTCTCTAGGGCTTTGAGACATGGTTAGTGCAAATAAAATGAATTGAAAACCTTACCAGCACACTCACAAATCCTTACTTGATCACTCCAAGAAAATTTAGATTGCACTCCACTCACTCTCGTGTTTGCACTCGGGGATATGTTCCTTGGCTTTTTCTGATCCCCCTTCTAATCTCACCTTATCGTTTGCCTTTTACCGCTCAATTCTCTCTTGTGGGACCTTTTTAAGAACTAACTTGATGTAAGGCGAATCTACACGCTTTGATGGAAGAGAGTAGATAGCCTTATTGTGTCCCGATCTAGGATTGACAAGTACTGATGTCCTTGAATAAGATAAGAAATAAATATGTTTAGCAATGGAAGGATAAATGGAATAATAAGATAAGAAATGAATTAAAAGAATGGTATAGAGATGGCTGCGGAATTGATGGTCTTGTTGGTTGATGTTGATGGTGCAATGGAGATGGTGATGTTGTATCTCAAGCACGCCAAAGAGTAAACAATGCTAAGAAGCACAATCCCGTTCTTCACAAACTTACTTGAGGGGTGGTGATAGTGTCTTCAACCCACTAGATATCAATCTAGGAATTTTGGAATCAAGATGGAAAGAATGACGCCACAAGTATATGAAATATACTTGCTTAATCGATAAAGTTCACAAAGAACTTTGAAGAGAAATAACTCACAAGAGTATGTTTTATATAAGAGATGAGATGAGTTACAAATGAAATGCCAAAGCCTATTTATAGTTTTCAAAGGGTTTAGGCCGAATAGGTACATGATGGTTCGGCTATGCATGAAACCCCTTTGAAAATACATGACTTTTAAATGAAAATACATGATTTTAATGAAGATACATGCTCTTGGATGAATAGTAAGGTGTTGGTTCGGCTTAAGGATGTTTTGAATGTTTTTGGAAGTCATTTGGGTGCCAAAATGGAGAGGAATAAGTCTTTGGCCGAATAGGAAGCATCCCCTGGTGTTTTGGCGCCTATTTGATGTCACATGGAGTGCACATGCTTGAATGATGCACATGGCAACCTACTTGAACGCACATGGGTCTTCTTGCAAGGCTTTGGTGAGGTTGCAACCATAGGAAAATGTCTTGAAGTCCATGGAATGAAGATGGCAGCAACTAGGCGTGACTTGACTTCCAACATGCATCTAGGTGTCATGGTCTTCAATGGGCTGCAACTTGTCATGAAAGGTTATATTTGTGGAAGGTAACCTTTCATCATTTGAGCTACTTCCCATGTGTATGAGCTGAAGATGAGCTGGTCATAGGTGAATTACATGAAGATGAGTCTTTGGCCAGCTCCTTGTGAAAAAGTACCTCTTGGAATGGTAACTCTTCGCGAAAAGATACGAATCCACAAAAATTGACTTAGACCATATTTGAAGTACTTTGTGTGGTGGTGATGATGGTGTAACTCTCCAACTGAAATGAGGTCTCTAGCTAGCTCAAAAGTCCAGCTCAAGTGAGCTATGAGCTCGGGGGTCAGCTGACAACTTTTCATCATTTGTTCTTCATGATCTCCCGAGTCATCCTATGTAAGTTTTCCTAGCTCCTTATAATTAGTTAAGCTCAAATATAGCTCCCAAGTGTTGGTCGAATATGCCTACATGCATAACATAAAGAAATAAACTAAGTATATAAACTATATAATGCATATAATATAATGATGTGCATATTATAAAGATGTGAACTATAGGTTATAATAATAATTCATGCATCATATGATATTGAATGAATATTAATATTATAACTATAGATTATATACATGAATATCAATCAATGATGCAAACCATAGGATATAATGAATGAATGCACATACTATGATAATTCAAGTATAGTCTAATATGCAAATGTATGCTCATAATAATATATATAGTGCATAAATAAGTAAATATAATATAAAGTATGGTAGAACTCCCTTATATTGAGTTTGATGGTTTTTCAATGATGTGAGTATGTCATGCAGAAAGTTGGTGCTAAACAGGATCACATCATCCTCCCCTTCTTTTGGGCGATTTGTCCTCAAATCGAAAGATGACATCTCCAAATTATACGCCCATTCAATCGTTGCTGGTTTGCTTCCATAGATCATCTTTATGAAAGGATTCTTATCAAGAGTCATATCCCTTGAATAGGTTCCTTGAATGTCCATGACCTGAAAAGGTAAGAAACTTTCATAAGTAAGAGAATTGTTAATTATGAACAAGTGAAAATTGTACTCCCTGTTCTCATGTTTTGAATAGCCAAAAGTTATGTCATTTGAATCAGAAGACATGTTGTTTTGAATGATCACTTCTTTTTGCACTCTAAAAGACATATTCTTTGGTTTCCCAAAGATCATGTCCTTTAAATGAAAAGTCATATCTTCTAGTACTTGAGAAGATAATTCTCTTAAGCTTCCAAGGATCGCGCCTTTTGGTTCCTCTATTTGACAAATTGAATCATTTGGAATATCTCCTTGATCCGACACATCATATTCGTTAAAAAGAATATCTATATCTTCATATCCACTCTTTGAATCATCATGATGGTTTGTGGAGAGTCTTAACCTTTGAAACTTCTTGAAATGCTTGAGTTCAATGCACCAATCAAGCTTATAACGACAAATGATCTTATCATTAACGTTTGGTAAGATAATACCATGTACATAACTCAAATTCCTGCAAAGTAAATCAAAGTTAAAATATAAGAAATTATTAATAAGATGAATGGAAACATTAAACCAAGGTGGATGTTTAATAGGAGTTGGTTGTTGAATTCTTTTCATGATTGGCAATGCACTTGGAATGTCAACGAACACAACTCTTGGCACTTCAAATGACGTTTCTTTTGGAACTTCAAATGGCATCATCTTTGAAACATCAAGAGACATGTTTTGTGGATCAAAAGTATCAACTATATGCTCTTCAAAAGTCACATCTTTTAGTCCTCCAAAAGACATGATTCTTGAATTATCTCCTTGAAAAGATATGTCTCTTGAATTGTCCTGCAAAACAAAAGGAAGAATAGGAGAAAAAGTAATGTTAGATAAAATTTATTCTTTACTCTCCTCTTTGGATCCAATTTCACTCCTCTCATTTTCAACTCCAACGTCTTCTTCAAGTTGCTTGTCTTTAATTTGCTCTTTCATTATTTCAATGTTTTTCCTCAAGGTATTTTGATCTTCATTCACTCGGTTAGGAGATAATGGAGTCCATATGACTTTTCGTTCATTGTGAATGAATGAATACTGATTTGTGAATCCATCATGGACAACCTGCTTGTCAAATTGCCATGGCCTCCCTAAGAGTAAATGACTCGTATTCATAGGCACTACGTCACATAGAATCTCATCTTTGTAACTTCCAAGTGAGAATGGCGCAAGTACTTGTTCAGTGACCCTTAACTCTTCCTCGTCATCCAACCATTGCAAGTCATATGGGATGGAATGTTTAATTGTCGTAAGCCCTAATTTGTTCACCATGTATGTGCTTGCAATGTTTGTACAACTCCCTCCGTCAATAGTTACAAGACACGCTTTACAATTTACATGGCAACGAGTGTGAAATGTATTTGTTCTTTGCTGTTTGTCCTCCAAGGTTTGGAAAGATGAAAAATCACAAGACATTTGTTAGTAAAAGAAATTAAATAAAAATTAAAACCTTACCAGCACATTCACAAAGTCTCACAAGTTCACTCCAAAGAAATGATAAGATCACTCCACTCAATACTCGTGTTTACTCTCGGGAATATATCTTGCTTTTAACAATTCCCCTTCTGATCTCACTCTCTCAATTAGCCTTTTTCCACTCCAATTTCTCTTGCTAAGTCCTTTAAAGAACTTACTCAAGATTAGAACAAGTTAATTCCTTCCTTGTGTGTGTCGGCTGCAGATAGGTTATGGTAGAAAGAATAGAAGAAATGGAAAGGTAGAAGAAAGGTTTTAAGGTATTAAAAGGAAGAAATGGTTGAAGACAAGGAAAATGAAATTATGGAAAAGAAAGATGTGACTTACAATTCAAGAAACAACACTTACTGCAACCTTTCTCAAGAAACAATAAGGTTATCTTCTCTTAGTGTAGATGGCCTCTTTGATGTACTTGTATTGGTAGAGCACTTTCCTTGACTTGCTTTCTCTTTTTGAACTTCTCTTTTTCTTTTCTTTTCTTTTTTTCTGATTTTTTTCTGATTTTTTTCTCTTCTTTTTGCACTCCAATTTGTTGAAGGAGTCTTTTTCTCTTTTGAATTTCTTTTTTTGCTTTGCACACCAATGACACTTTTGTTGTAAATCCGACTATGCTCTGATTACCGCTTGATGTAAGGCGAATCTACACGATTTGATGGAAGAGAGTAGATGGCCTTATTGTGTCCCGATCTAGGATTGACAAGTACTGATGTCCTTGAATTATAAGCTTGGGCTGCAAATAAGATAAGAAATAAATATGTTTAGTAATGGAAGGATAAATGGAATAATAAGATAAGAAATGAATTTAAAAGAATGGTATAGAGATGGCTGCGGAATTGATGGTC